TCTCTTCCGATGTTCCATCGAAAATAATATTTTATATTATGAAATTGATATTTGTAACTTTCTAATAATCCGAATTAAATAGATGCTTTATTTCTTCTGATATATTTAATATTTATTTTTTTGTCCGTAGTGGTAAATCAGAATATTTTCCCACAGAGCTGCTCGAGATGGGTTTCTATCTTCAACAAAAGTTCCGCTTTGGTCATATTTTCTTCATATTGGTAATATCTGTCGCTGTAGACGCTATAAGGGAATCGATAAGATTAGTAGGAGATAGTTTTTTTTCAGACAATAAATTAAGAATCTGGGAAGGTAAATAGATAATTCTTCATCGATGGCTTCTTGCATTTGAAGGCTGAGATCAAAAGTTTTTCGTATCGTAGCCTATTAAGAGAATTGGCCCAGGGTGAATCAGTATGCTGGATTTTGTTTTGCGATGTCATATTGAAAGCAACAAAACTAGTAACGATATGGTAAGTCACGATATTAAATCCACTATCGAGACAGTTCTTTTGTCCCTTTTCATTGTCAAATGCAAGAAATAGAAGTTCTTCGGGCAACGGTTCTTTATATGCTGATAGTTCTTCCAGCCAGGTCTGAAATCGATTGTAGCTCGTAATATGATTATCGATATTGATAATCTTCTTCGATCGTGTGATTGAATATTTAATAGCTGAGGCGGCAAGATGCACTTCGGATACATACTTTTCATGTCGCGCACCATGTATCGAATCAACAGCGGCAGCAGTTTTAAAAAGCTTCTCGTGGCATCGACGTCACAATAATCTTCTGGTTTGTTCAAGCTCTATCGCTGGATCAGAATAACTAATGCGAATGTCATCAACCAAATCGCTTTTATTTTTTTGACTAGATCCTAATAAATTTATTAGTAGCGATAATTTGGTTATAATGCTTCTCACAAATAGCATAAGAGTCTAGTGAGATATGAAGGACGACAAGTTCAGGGAAGTAGTTATGGTATTGCCTGAGTATTTGCATGCCGTAAAAATTATAATTCCTTTGTCTCACAGGGTCTTGAAATACAGCGTAATTAGCAAGCTTGTTTCGTCTCAGTCAACCAAGTACGACACAGATTCGTAGTTTTTACTTCTCATTTTACTTTCTCGAAACGAGTTGATTATTTTGATTAATAGAAAATATGAAAAGTAGACGTGTATTAAGTATGGTGTTAGTCGCGGACAAATAACGACAAAGAATGCAAAAAAAACAAACGTGTGTGAGCCAATCAGATTTCAAGAATCGCATGCCGATTATTCTGAATTAGTTTAGCGCGGAGTGCGAATCTTGCACAAAGGCCTTGTACAAACTAACTTTACAAACTAACATACAATGCTGCGGACTTTTCTATTATTACTATTACCCAACATCATTCTACTTCCTTAAAAGTCAATTAAAACCGTTTTTGCTTAATTGTAAAAACTTTCATGGTTTAAGATAAGACTGAACAAAACCAGACATTAGTATTAGTTAATTTCTCATTCCAAATATATTAGAGATCGATATGAAATTTAAATGTTTCATTTTCATATTATGATCATTGTTTCTTGATAATCTTGATTGAACCTATTTAATGACCTGCCCTGCTTATCTCAAAGAAAAATTAATATTAAAGAACAAGAACGAGACAATAATGAAAGGTTTGCAAAAAAATACAGACTGTTGATAATTGGGGAATGATGATAATAGTGGTTGGGGATTATGATAATGGTTGGGATAATCATGTTAATTGGGAGTGATAATTTGTTAAATAAAAGAAAAAAAGTTGGATTTTTCATCACAAAAAAGCGTGTTAGAAGAAGTCATACTGGAAGCTGGGCATAAATGTTTTTTTTTACCCGAAGCTCCACTGCGAACTGAATTATATCGAGCGGTACTGGGGTGCGGCGAAAGATATGTTTGAGAGAACTGCGACTATTCTTGGCCAGGCTTGCACACGCGTCGTTCCTGCAGCCTTGGAATCTGTTGATACGATTACAATAAGAAGATCCGCTAGGAAAGCATGGCGTTACATGCGATTTGTATAGGAAGGGAATCACTGATAAGTTGGCAAAATATGCTGCCAGAAAGTATAATAATAAGTCTCACCGTTGTATTCCTGAATATGTATTGTCAGAATTTGAATGAATAAAATTATGAAACGATATCTACAGTAATAGTTATCTATATGCTTGTTCATGGTCACGTAATTTATTATAAAATTACGTGTTGATATACATACGAAATTTTGGACTGTGCGGTTTATAGATGATAGCCACCCACCATAACACTTTTCTGCGAGCTTCTTCAATCTTTTCAACAGAATATGGTAACTCTGTATCGGTATTGAAGTCTCGACGGCTGTATAATCTGTGGCTTCCTTAACGCGACGTAATTTAATAAATACCTCACAGATTAGTATTAGGGCGTTAACCTACAAACGCTTTGGGACTTCAAACGTGCATTTCTCAAAAGACGTAATTTACAATATACCATTCGACTGCTCGGCCAAAGGGAACCGAAACAGTATTATCGTTGTTGTATAATTTGATTTTTGTAAGACATTTTTAACAAGCGAAGCGATGAAGTGAAGTCAAAAATTAAAACGAATTAATCATTAATCAAGCGAAAGTCTTCAGAACTATGCTGTACATGTATTATATAATCACTAACTCATATTACGCGTCGCTACAAATAAATTATGTGCTGTGTCTTATTTACATATTTGCCAACAAAATTAGGCAGAAAGATATTATATCCGGCAGTTTTTATTATCCATATCTACGATGACAGCTAACGATATTGTTTGTTACTAGCCAATAGATTCATTAATTATATATATAAAGAAAGCAAATTTATATCTACATATATTACAAAAGCTATGTCTAGTAATAGAAAGAGGATGGGAGAGTCTTGGAATATCAAAAGTTATACGACTGACATCATGGATTAGTTAGAATAGTCATTATTAGCTAATACGTGACTTTACTGCGGATATATCCTAAATTTGGGTGTACTTACCGATCTATCAAAAACGCGAAACTTATTAATAGATGCAAATCAACATTTCCTGTTTCAATCTTACGCCGCCGCTTAGATGGAAAAACTATTAAGTTGAGTCTCATAACACAGCTCCCATAATCACAGCTCCCATAATCACAACCTCAGACCGTCACTCTTTATAACAACATTCTCCCATAAAAGACCATATTACTACGTCTACTCTACCCTATGTACACATTACTCTATGTCCCCAGCGTCCGAGTCAAAAAGTCGTTACCTGGCTGAGCAGGAGTTACAACACGCTCCAGCAGGATTGTATGCTGTTTGCGAAGCTCGGCGAGGTTTGCATACAATGCCGGCAGAGTAGCAAAGAGTACTGCCCGGTCTCGGTCATTATTCGGAAGAGCTTTGATACGCTGTATCTTCCCCTCAGTCTCACTAATTTTTGCCTAGACAGATTCGAGATTACTTATTGTCAACAAATTTGTTTGATGGAGACGTGTTGCGCGATGGGTGATTCGTGAATTGTTCTGTCTCCGTATTCGTGGCGTTTCTTTCTCAATATTTATCTTCAAAGAAACTGCAGATGAAAACACCCAAGTAATCCAACACTTTGTCACTGAAGCTCTTAAAGCAGATTTGAATGAACAAGTAATTGTGCTTCCGCCACTTTTGAAAGACAGCTCTGAGATAAAAATCTACAGGCGTGACTGCTATAATCATATAAAAGAGTTTATTCTCAACCATCCCCGTATAATCGCTTTTGTACTATTGGCAACCCTGGAACCGGGAAGACAGTTTTTGGGTTTTTCATAATGAGTGTTTTGCTACATCTACATTATCGTTTGCTTGTGGATAGGGTTCACATTGCTGACAAAGTTGTCACAAGGTTAGAGGAGAAATTTAGAGCTGAATTGTACAGGTTTGTCGCTGCAGCCCCTGCATATCAGAACTGGCATGCTTTCGTGGCCAAATTTTTGAAAGGCTTGCACACCGAAGACTTGCAATGGCGGAACATTTCCCATACGCTCGAACCAGGAAACAAAAGTCAGCTATTAAACCTCCCTCGACTTGAGATAAAAGACTGTTGGACAGTTGATGACATTGAAAACTTTAAATATTGCAAGCCAATAATCAAGAATTTCGAAACAATCGATGCAATCTACATTCGCCGTCGCAGTGCGTTGACATTCAAATGACAGTTGGAAAGTCTCATGATATTAAACAACATTGTTATGAAATATTACATTCCAAACTAGGGGGTGAGTCAGCCAAATACAAAATTCAGCACTATTTTGTTGTCCCAAAGGACAATTATCATGATTTCAAGAAACAGCCTATTACAGTAATTAAAGAAGTGTGTGGTATAGCACAAACTACCCCAAAGTATCAAGCCTTGGATTCGAGAAAAGGTAAATCAGTATGTACTGCAGTTGGATATCAACATAAATAGCAATAAACTCTTAATATTAGAGCATCACATCATAATCAGTGAGATTTTGAATTGCAATATCTTGCCTAAATAATTTCCAACCATCTACTTGTCAAATGTTTCTGTTAATATTAAATGATTAAGACTCTGGCCATACATGTATATCTTCTGTGTGTCTGGAGGACGTGGCACACCATTTCTTTAATATTAACCATTCAAATCTGCTTATGCTTATCGATTTTCTAGTTAGTGTCAGAGAAAAATTGATCCTTGTGGGATCATTCTTTGTTGGCTGGTTTACTACTGTTCATGACACGTTCCCAAACTAAAACGAGCAGGTATGCATATTAATTGTCTTCCGATATTTGTTGCACATACGGAAATAGGTATGGATCAATCCATGAACCTCTTCCACATCTGTTCAGTTCAGCATCACAGGCACCACACAAATGCGTCCCTATGGAATGTACTGTAATCGTATGTATCAGATATTCCAACAATGCCTTCTTTGTGCCGTTCATACTTTCGCCATTTCCGCTCCTTTCTCCCTCAAATTTGACACCTCTCTGGCGATAATACTCGACGTCATTCTTCCTCTGTATTCTGTATTCTGGACGCGCACTGTCGATTGAGTTTGATCGTTATTTGTTGTTTGTGACATGCTAGATAAAATTGAGATTGAGTCGATTAAGTGTAAATTGTATCAATTGTGTTGTTATTGTGTTATGATTGAACTTTGGTACTGCTTATAATTCGGAAATGTTGTTGATTATTTTATTACGGCACTATTTCATATTTATGTTTTAGTGAGATCACATGATTGTCATTTTTCGGCTGACAATAGCATACATCATGTGATTTGAGTTTCATAACGAACAGGGTCTACAAAAGAGGCATTAGTGGTAGGTCCAAATCTCGATAACTTTCCTATAAGAATTATTGGTAACACCATAAAATTTGGACCGCGTAGAGCTTTCCTAGGAAGGTCACCCACAAGAGGACGAGTGACCATCGCTGAAGTGAATGCCACAAAAAAAATAGTGTGATCATGACCTGGATCTTAGTCCAGCTGGATATATAACTCGCCTCAATAAGAGTTAACTCTATTACATACCAGATGACATTAGTTCATTCAACTATGCAATAGAATAAATTACAGCAATGTGAAAGCGTAAGGTAGCATTGCTAGTATTGCTCAATGCCCTTATATTGACCAAATAAATATTGTCCTGTAGATGCGGGTTGTCCGAACAGTGAAGACATTACAGCGCAACGAAGAAGATAGTATCAGTCGCTTGAAAAATATTTCTTCTCGTAGACGACGTATTACGTCAACCGCCAAATTAACAAGACTGTCAAAGCTCTTCCAGATATTCAGGAAACATCAAGTAAAAAGAAACACGATTATAACTTATTTTTGGGTGATTCTCTCTTCACATTGCCATAAATAATGTTGCAAAACAGAAGCCGATGTCTTCATCAGACCTGGATTATAATAACATGGACATATGGCAGACTGATACAACAGTCGAAAACCTTTAATCGTTATGCGCTTTAATGAATTCAATGTTCAATGTTCAATTACAAAATCTCTTCAACGCATCTGATGCCTTCCTTTTCCAATGCTTCAATGATGGGTTTATTAACATCTTCGCTATAGGGGACAACGACACCCTTATGATTAAGAACACCTAATAGTATGGTAATTGACAGCGTTAATATTGCCACACCAATATAAACCACCACACGCACATGCCTAACGCGGTCGAATATTCTAGTCAATCATCCACACACAGTTGTATGGCTGGATTTGCAAATGCTTACCGTCTAGCACTAGCTGAGTGGCAATACCGCACGGAGTGCCAACGGTTCTTGCCATTGCAGACGCACCATTGGGATCACCAAATTCCAGTAATGTTGACGTGCGCGTTTCCTAAAGAAATCGTCAAATATTTAAAATAACGCCTACATCATAAATACCATCACAAGTGATTTCTCACCTTTGTGCCATCTTTCCATTCGATTCCAAATTTATGTTGAAGAATAACCATATCTCTTTCTCCTGGACCATACTGCATTTTCTCTTCCAAAGTTGCGCACAAAGTATCAAGCAATGTACCTCGGAGATGCACGGGCGTGTTAGAAAATAGTCCAATCCATTTCATACCCTGTAGAATTCTTGTTGCTTCATCATTAGAAATATTGGTTTTGGAGAGTACTGCTGAAGAGAGCGTACTGTTAAGAGAACGTGATGGAGAAACAGCTTTAACGGTTGCCCAATTATAGAAACGTCGAAGCATTAAATCTATTGAGCGACAACACAAAAGCTATAGTGTACCTTTCGGATGGCGAAGCTACATTGAGAATCTTGGCGAGAACGTTGGCCTATTAATTGAAAGTAACGTAAGTAACATTACCTAACTGTTTCAAATGCGAGCTTTTTGGTACTTACCCAAGTAATTGCGGGCGCTCCCGGCTGTAAATAATCTTTCTGAGCATCATCCAATAATCCGATATCAACAAGAACTTTGATAAATTCAGGGAACCCCTAAGGTGTCAAAACATGGCAGAATTTTAACTTTCTTTCAATCGGAATTAATCACTTAAACCCACTCCATCTCTAATAACGCACCTGATATCGCAGAGTGCCTCTCAGCACAGTTTGTGCCTCTGGGATATGATATTTTTCTCTGAATGGCGTTGAATCACGGTTTGCATATGCAACGAATGCAAAAGCAGGATATATGTAATATGACTTGGCTGAAGTCATTAACTCGTGAGCAGCAATTTCTACAATCTACAAAATCCAGTAAAAGGCTTTGTCATGAGCACATAGCATGATTAAAAGCATTCTGCGTTCGATTCAGTCTTACCTTTCCATCCTGATAAAACTTTGCCGACGCTCGCAATGCCAATAAAACTCCACGCGAAGACCACGAGAATTTGTATCCCAAAGGATTATTAGAATTCTCTGGAGCGGGAAGTCCACCACAGTACGAGATGAATGATAGAACCTATGAAAATTAAAATTGATGATGATAACGCAAGTAAAGTACAAAGCGGAACATTTTTAACATTCTATACGACAAACCTTTCCACCGGCTCTATGGACTTCATTTATTGTCTTTACCGCATAAAGATGGTCAATACCTTATCATTATAGACATGTATTTAGCATTTAAACACACGCTTTGCTATGGAAACATGCTATCGGACAGCGACGGCTTACCAGGATCTAATCCAACTTCGTTCATGATAATAATACCAGCTTTCTTAGCCCTGTACAACTCATCGCGAATATCATTATTCTACTATCCAAAGCACTCAGCAGTCACTTTCAGCCCACCAGTCTTCGTTCTATAGAAACTCCCTCTTCTCTCCCCATCTCTCATGAACCCACGTCTTACTCACTCATCATCAAAAGCCATAATAGCATCAGAGACGTAACTCGTAGTGACGACGTTCTTCTTATATTTCAAGGCACTTTTAATAACTGTTGGATGGTGTGTGTATGGGATTAAACTAATCACAAGATCGTGTTTAGATACTGCTTGGTCGAGTTCAACTTCATTGAAGACGTCGAGAGATATTGGAGTTGCGCGTTCGTATTTGGATGACAAGGCTTTCGCATACTCTAGTCGACGGCATGCTGTAATAAAGAGGTTAGTCAGCGTATTTAATATTACCGAAAATACAAAAAACAAAACAAAAAAAAAAAAAGAAAAAAGAAAAAAAAGAAACAAACAAAAACCAAACAAAGCAAAAAGAAAGAACAAAACAAAAAACCAAACAAACCACATCCAACATAATGAATATACATACCTATTGTTATATGATTCTCTGGACGTCGAAGGATATATTCTACCGCCGGGCCAGCTACAAAGCCTGAACCAAGGAGCAGAATCTTTCTAATTGATAGTTGTATTCAATTTTTATTATCATTAAGACATATGAGGGAGGGAAACATCTTTCTTTAACAACTTACTTCTCATTAGTCATTTTGGAGATTGACTTTGGAAAAGGTGTAGAAAAAATGATCTGTTTTGTAGGACATTATTATTATGCGAAATAGATGTGCAATTGATAATCTTGTGGACACTTGAATTATTGTCATTACTGGATTTGGTCACAGTATCACGATTCGGGTTTCGTAGCGAAAATTTTGTTCGTATTATTTAAACTTGAATGCGTGCGTCGTAGTTTGTCTTTGATGCCGATTCCACAACCAACGATGGAGTATTTCTCGCTTTTGGAACGGCATATTATATAGCTAACATTCTTTATTCCCAGAAACGATCCGTTCAGGAAGATGTTTGTTAAACGTTGTTTCTATGTGTACAGCATGCAGCAAACGAACAATTTTCCGAATGTTTTTTGAGATTCATGCCAACGAAAGCGAAGTCACCGTAATCGTACCAAAAATATTATCTGTTGACATTGTGTTATTTCAATAAAACATTTAAATAATGAGATAAATGAGGTAGAGTATAAGAATACTTGAAATCTGTTTATACCGAAAAGACATATTGATTTCTTTGTTCGATCGTTCATTTGATATGAAAATTCTTTCTTCATACCAAAGTCTCTTATAATCTTTCCCATGCCGGACAAGAGAACTATGCCAATACACCCGGTGTGAAAAAGTGGTGACTGTATGAAATTTATTTATAAGCAACAAGATGTTTGTTCTAGCCCATCAATTTATAGTAGATTGGATTGTTGTTGACATTCCAATGCCAACTGTCTATGTTTTTAAGGCAGAAATTTAAAGACAATTACCTTTATCGACATGTTCGTGATGAATGTGTTGGCCTTGGAAATTACACGCCGAAAAGACAGTCTTTTCTGCTTGCTCGGATATTCCAGCGTCTGCTTAACGACGGCTAAATATATTCCGACATCTATCTTAATTTATTATTATCGGCAGCACTTCCGGTCAGTAACATCGACTCATAAGAATAGAACTATTATTAAAACAACAATCCTTAATAGAAGAATGTATTAATTATTGTCACGGCTGATGGTGAAATCGGCTGATGGTGAAATCCACGTGATCGTTGATTATCACGTAATGATTATCAGTA